CACACCACACAGTGTTCCCTACACACACTATATAACCTGCACATACACCCTACATTCCTTTCCCACACCTCTACATAACCTACAAACTACATCCCTATCCCACACCACACCGTGTTCCCTACACACACTATATAACCTGCACATACACCCTACATTCCTTTCCCACACCTCTACATAACCTACAAACTACATCCCTATCCCACCCCACACTGTGCCTTATACACTCTACATAACCTACAAACTACATCCCTATCCCACACCACACCGTGTTCCCTACACACACTATATAACCTGCACATACACCCTACATTCCTTTCCCACACCTCTACATAACCTACAAACTACATCCCTATCCCACCCCACACTGTGCCTTATACACTCTACATAACCTACAAACTACATCCCTATCCCACACCACACAGTGTTCCCGACACAAACTACATAACCTACACACTACATCTCTATACTGCACCACACCATGTTCCCTACACACACTATATAACCTGCACACACATACACCCTACATCCCTTTTCCACACCTCAATATATTCCATACACACACTACTACGTAAACTACACAAATCATTTGAGGGGAAAAAGTAATTTTCGGGTTTTGGTCCAGAATTTTCATTTCGGTGCATCCCTACATTACAGACGTTCTCAGATGTAGGGGATATTCAAACCCAGACCCCGAAGACCTGACATTAGCACAGAACACTCCATTTCTAAACCTTTTACCTGGAGGTCAAGGTACTATATACGGCTTTGTTCCTCAGGGAGTTGGGGGATATTCAAACAGCCAGTGTTCTAATGACAAACTTTGCTTTTCTTATTCTTTTTACGACAGCAGCTGTACATTCAAGATTCTTACGTTTTAGCATTGTGTTGCAATTTACTGCTTCTTTCTCCACCTAAAACTACATCAGGGCATTCAATTGCAGATTAATTACTAATCACTAATAGCAAATTGGGAGAGAATTCAATAGTGGGGCAATCACATTGGCTACACTTTCATTTTTTTAAAGGCAAGGCTTCACATCTTTCAATATCTTGCAATTTGTGCAGTTGATTATTTTGGGGGAAATGAATGTATTGTTAATGATCTTCCACCCTAACATCCAAGTGTCATGTTGTCCATTATTAGGTGTGCTTGTTTTAAAGGGACTCTCTAGAGTTATGAATACAAACATGTATTCCCAATGCTAGAGTATTGTTATAACTATATTGGTTATCTCTCTCCCCCTCCCACCCCCAGTCCCGTGCTGGTCTCGCTATAGTCACCCCGTCTTCACTGACTGAGATCATCAGTATTGAAAGGTTAGTTCACATCTGCGGCAACAGCCGTACTCCACCAATCTGCATCTCCTCCCTGAGTTGCATTGACTCAATCCACTACGTGGGGAGCGTTTGGCTTTGTTTACTCTGCTCAGCCTGCAGGGACAGGCTTTGTACTCCAGGACCCCTACATTAAGTTGTAGTGGTCCTGGTGCCTAAAGTGTCACTTTAACACTTTGCAGGTAAAGCATCTTTGTCTACATAAATATTTGTATTTATTTTTTACTTGCCTACCATAATTTTATTTTTCCTGGCTCTTCCTGGCAACACTGTGTAACCATCCCTAATTGCTACACAGTGGCTAGGAAATTCAGAGCAATTACTATTACAAGAGGATGTCTAGATAGATGCAGAACCAAAATCGTCTTTGTTGCCGGAATTTTCTGTGTATGTCCAGTTCTTCCATTTCATGTGATGCAGCAAAACGCATGTTAACAAGCACACACAACACAGATTCCTATCAGTTGTCATTTAATATGTACAATGAACAGATTTCTCATGATGTGGAAGCATGATTTTTTTTTTATTAAGAAAAAAAACTTGAGACATACAAGGACCTCCTATGGGCAACATGCTTTTTTTCCCCCTTCTTATTTCTAAAAAAGGGTCTGACCCATTCTCCATCTTAAAGCCTGTAATCTATTGTTCTTCAATGGTGCCAGCTGAAATATTGAGTGCCAAAAGAAACTTTTATGTCCATAATTTAGGATTTTTCACACCAAAAAATAGAGGAGGGCTTTGAGCCAGGTTCCCTAATGGTAAACACAGCAATTCTATTAGCAGCCGCGGCACCGGTAGAAAGTTGCTCAGTGGGAAGTCGTACACAAATCTTTTCATTTCTTGGATCAGCAAATAAATTGAAACCTCCATATGGGTCTCAATTCATCTATGGGATTAGACTTGTTTAGGCTGCAGCTTCATTTCCTGTTTTTTTTATTATCTGTGGAATAAAAAAATAAAAAAAATAACTACTGCAGGAAAGTTGTATTTTCCTTGATTTGTTGTCATTTTATTTAGTTTTTGGTAGTTGTATTTTCACTGTAAATACATTCAATTTATTATCATTTTATTTTTCTCCTCTTAACTTATGTAAATTCTGTATAATATTGCACTTCAGTTGTGAGATCTTTCAAAAGCTGAATGTCCCCATTTTGTTATCCTGGAGGTGGCAATTTTTCCTTATATGCTTGTACTGTGACCTCTTGGGACCTTTAAACATCTGGATCAGCAAAGATTTCCCAATGACTCCCAATAAGGAGTCAGGGCTGTGACTGCAGACCATGGATCTGTTTTCCCAGTGAAGAAATTATTATAAGCTTAATGTTTTAACTTATGAGTAATGCAAGTATGGATAATTGTATAGTGATCATAAATCGCATTTAGAAGAAGTATAGCGTGTCGATGAGAAGGCAAAATAACAATGACTTGTGCCACTTTTAGCCTTTTGTCTGTTTGACTCATTACTTTCAGAAGTTATTTCTAATTATCGGAGTACCTGGATGTATTTGTCGTCAAGAGCTGTTTTTGCATGAAATAATTATGGCCATTATTGCCATTAAAAAAAATAGTTTGTCTGACCATTGTGTTGGCCATATCAGCTCATAATTTCCCTGTAGTTTATATCACTGGATCTGAGGCATTATACAGTGCTTTTGATAGTAATTTAGCAGACCCAATGAGTAGATTAAATGCTATTCTACAATGACGGCCAATAAGAAACTATGCCTCGTCCACGAAGCATCAACTTTCGAGTCGTTTGTTTTGTCGTGGTAAGCTGTCACTGCATTAGAAGATGCCACCATGAGTTATTTGTGTATTAGCCCATAAAACCCAAATAGTCGTACATTTTTGAAGGCCAGTTTCGGTACAAGCCGAAAAGTGCTTGTAGTAACTCATTGACCAAATTGCTACATTGAGGCTACAATATCAAAGCAGTGACTGTAGTGGATTACAGAATGTTGCCTAAATTCTTCAACTCTGTTTATATTCACTATAATTTGATATTTAGTGATTAAAACCCTGAACAATTCTATAGAAGTTAGTCTACTTTTAGTCAGATCCATTACCATTTTGGATAAATTCTGTTCTCTGCCACAAGAGGGCTTCAGAAACCAGCATGCTAATGAAAGATCACAGATTTCAGGTTTTGTACATCTTCATGTTCCAAACTTTGCCAGCTAGTGTGTACCATGGTTTAATGCTAAGGAAATATCCTTCCGATGTTTATATTTAAAAAATACATTTAGTTTGTTCAGGTAAATACTGCAGTAGGGGTACCTTCCAAATAATTACAAAGCATATTCTGTGTTCTGGGATGCCGATGAACGACCATCCTCTCCGTATATAGGCTATGCAATACAACAGAAATGAGAAATTTAGTGAATACTGTAATTTTTATTTTCAAATAGAAGGAAAATAACTTACAAGTGTGGTGCAAAAACCATTTAGGTGGTATTTTCCTCACAAATTAAAGTGACATCCAGTATATGATGAATATTAAAAGCAGGAGGGTCCAGGGGGTGTCTTAAAGAAATAAATTAATCTTTAAAACACAAAGCTAAAAAAGCTATAAAATACAGTAAAAAGTAACACTAATGCGTTTCACAAATGTGGCTTTTTCAAAGTGTCACAGCACACTAGACCAACACTCCTTATATAGGTACAATTAAATTATAATTGGTGGTCATGACATCATCATCACATGACCTGAGCTTAAAGACACAATAAAACATTAGCACAATTAAAACAGAAATGTAACAGTATAATATGAAACATAAACTTATAGATAATCAATTGTTTCTATTTTTCATTAATTTAAGTGGTCTGGGTGCAGTGTCCCCAGCATTTTTGCCCTGCGATCTAAAACATTGATGTTTAGTAGATACTGCAGTAGTTTCATTGAAGGGTTAAACACGCCACTAGTGGCTGTCTTCCTGACAGCCATCAGAGACACTTCCTCACACTTAACAGAGTGTCCTTACACATTGTAGAAGGATGTTGAACGTCATCAAAGGGAAGCGTTGATTGGACGAGCACAGCACTCTGAGTATTCACATCTCGTCTGAAAAGAGAGTGTTTACATTGAAAAGTGTGCAGAGGCAGGACATAGACTTCAGAACAACTACATTAAGCTGTAGTGGTTCTGGTGACTATAGTGTCCCTTTAAAAATTGTATTTTCGACATTGAAAAATCTGGCTCCTAACTTTTTTAGCTGGCTCCTAGATTTTGTCAAACCCTGCTTTAAGATCAACAAATGAGTGTGAGAAAGGAGAAGAGCAGGAAGGTGGAAGTGGACCTTTGGCCCATGAATTATGTTTAATGGAAGAGACCATTTTAATAAAGGACAAATGCTCAGGGAGACCATAGGCTTGCCTGAGGAGATAGGTTTTCTGGGATGTCGTAGAGGAATAAGGGACATTTTAATTGGGTGTAGACAGGCTGTTCTATAGGAATGCCTTTGAGAAACCCTGTAGGTCAGAGCAGTATGGGTGTGTACATAGGGGTAGGAAGGTCACTGTCTTAATGGAGTGACAGAAGAGGAGAATACCCAAGTAAAGAAATAGAAATGTATTCAGACTAGACTCTGGTATAGGTCAGTGCATGCACAATGCACGATGCAAATTTGAAGAATTCCTAGGGATATGACATTGATTGCAATACATACAGTAGGTGGATCACACTCCAAGAGATATCTACAAAATATATGGCCATGTATTTTGTAGATATCTCTAGGAGTGTGATCCACTTACTGTATGTATTGCATTTGTGTATGTTTTTGAGTGGTATAAGGGGTTTTCCACTCAGGTGATACATCACACTCACATCTTCTTCACTGTATATATTATACTTATTTGTTATATGACACTGATTGGCTGGACCACTGCCGACAAAGTAGGCTTGGAAAATGGAGTGCAGAAGAAGCCGGTAAATATGAGAAGAAATCACATTTACCTGCGTTATTTGGCTTTGCCTCTGAATGAGATTGACTTAAAAGGATGCATGTCCCTTTACGATTTCCACTAGGTACAATGAAACAAGGCGCTTAATTATTTTTGAATTGAGGTATGCTTGAGATCAAGTAGTGACAAGCATTTTTGTTATATTTCTTTATGGAGTGGCCATACTGGAGATATGGCTCAGACAGCGATTATGCAATTCCTTTTAGTCTTACCGATTCACACCAGCAATGGGAGTTGTGATGGGCTTTAAGTGGTCAGCTGGCACTCTCAACCAATCACAGTTGCCCATTTTTGCTGAGCCTATTGCTTTCTCATTAACACAAGGAGCACAGTGGGGGATGGACTGATGGACACTCTTACTTAGCATTAAAAACCTTTAAACCCTGGAATAGAAGGACGGCGCCAAGGGACTCCAGACACTATAACTACTTTAATGAGATGAAGCAGTTACGGTGCCTGCAGCATATCCTTAATATTATATATGCTCCATAGAGATGAGATAGGGGGACATTTTCAGACAATGCACTGATCAGCCACAACATTAAAACTACCAACCTAATATCATGTAGGAAGAATTATTAAATAAAAATTTAATAAAATATCCAGGAGTGGTCTGAAGCTATAAACTAATAATGCTCCATAAACTTGGTAAAAGAAAAATGGAACATTAGCATCCAATTATTGCTTCTTCTATAAAAGAAACTTTCCAATGTAATATTGGTCTTTGATTTAAAATCAAGTAGATAACAGTCCGTTGTAAATCTATGTATGTAAGCTAATTCAGTTAGCTCCAGTTATAGATAAACTGGTATTTAGATACTGAATTAGTTTGTTGATATAATACAATATGAACAGTTTATATGGTCCTTATAACTGAAATATTGTATCTATTGCCACACTGATACTCTAGTGATAGCTAACAAACTGTATAAAATAACTTACAGTTTAAATATCACTTTACTCCTAGTGATAGGAAATAAAGTTAAAAATCCAAGTGCTAATTGAAATAATTTATTGGTGAATAAACTGGTTAAAAAAGAATAAAAACGATCCACTCACATTATATCAAATACATACTGGATACTTTTGCAGGGGAATAAAGTGAGCAGCTGAAGAAAAATAGATGTGTTGTCCGATCGCCACTTTGATGAATGGATCGGCAATGTTCTTAGCCGCGTGCGTTTCACCCGGTTTCCCTCCTGCGTTCCAGATAGAAGTCGGCAGTATTTCGGTGAATGCCGGAAAGCAATGTGGTGTCGTTCTTGATGTCGTCCTAACGCGTTTCGTGAGACTTCTCTCACTTCATCAGAGGATGCTTGATAGGACCATCTCATGGCTTTAAATAGCTAGCAAATTAGCTGGCTTATATTAACTTAGTGGTTCATAGCACTGGATTCATTTGTATAAATCATACATAATCACAAATAATAGACAATGAAATTGGACATACAGATAATGAATTTACAATATATATTGGACCTATACATATTGTTAAAAATGTAGAACAATTAATGTATTCAACAGTATATAAATATTGAAATATTAAGAAATAGACAGATATTACACATTATACAGATGTAAGTAAACAGTTAAAAAGTAATATTTTGTTAAAATATATTTAATATCATTTTAGTTATAGAATTCATTATTGCAAAATCAGATGTTATATTGTACATATATTGATCAATTTGAATATTATAATGAGACTCATAGTTTAAAATACTTAATAAAAATACATGATAAAAACTTAAAAAAACATATTAAAAAGATTTAGTAAAAAGATGTCAATATAAAATTACACTCAAATATGATATATATCATTATAAAAAAAAAAAAAATGTAAAAAATGCCAAGCGTGTATAAACAATCCAAATCAATCTTCAAATATTACAGAATTTACTCACCCACAAACAAAAGAAATTTTTAAAATAAAATCACACCTAAACTGTAATACTACTGGTGTAATTTATTTATTAAAATGCCCTTGCAATAAAATATATATAGGACGTACCAAAAGAGCTTTTAAAACTCGAATGGGAGAACATATTAGAAATATTAAAAATGGAATTCATTCACACAACCTTTCGAGACATTTTAATCTTGTACATGCAAGTGATCCTAAGGGACTTAGTTTTATGGCAATCCAAAAAGTAAATATTCCTTGGAGAGGAGGAGATCTAGAGAAAGAACTAGATAAAGCAGAGGCTAAATGGATATTTCAGCCAGATTCGTTAGAACCTAAAGGTCTAAATGTAGATTTCGAATTAAGGGCTTTTTTATAAAGGTTTTTTTTTTTTTATAATGATATATATCATATTTGAGTGTAATTTTATATTGACATCTTTTTACTACATCTTTTTAATATGTTTTTTTAAGTTTTTATCATGTATTTTTATTAAGTATTTTAAACTATGAGTCTCATTATAATATTCAAATTGATCAATATATGTACAATATAACATCTGATTTTGCAATAATGAATTCTATAACTAAAATGATATTAAATATATTTTAACAAAATATTACTTTTTAACTGTTTACTTACATCTGTATAATGTGTAATATCTGTCTATTTCTTAATATTTCAATATTTATATACTGTTGAATACATTAATTGTTCTACATTTTTAACAATATGTATAGGTCCAATATATATTGTAAATTCATTATCTGTATGTCCAATTTCATTGTCTATTATTTGTGATTATGTATGATTTATACAAATGAATCCAGTGCTATGAACCACTAAGAGTTAATATAAGCCAGCTAATTTGCTAGCTATTTAAAGCCATGAGATGGTCCTATCAAGCATCCTCTGATGAAGTGAGAGAAGTCTCACGAAGCGCGTTAGGACGACATCAAGAACGACACCACATTGCTTTCCGGCATTCACCGAAATACTGCCGACTTCTATCTGGAACGCAGGAGGGAAACCGGGTGAAACGCACGCGGCTAAGAACATTGCCGATCCATTCATCAAAGTGGCGATCGGACAACACATCTATTTTTCTTCAGCTGCTCACTTTATTCCCCTGCAAAAGTATCCAGTATGTATTTGATATAATGTGAGTGGATCGTTTTTATTCTTTTTTAACCAGTTTATTCACCAATAAATTATTTCAATTAGCACTTGGATTTTTAACTTTATTTCCTATCACTAGGAGTAAAGTGATATTTAAACTGTAAGTTATTTTATACAGTTTGTTAGCTATCACTAGAGTATCAGTGTGGCAATAGATACAATATTTCAGTTATAAGGACCATATAAACTGTTCATATTGTATTATATCAACAAACTAATTCAGTATCTAAATACCAGTTTATCTATAACTGGAGCTAACTGAATTAGCTTACATACATAGATTTACAACGGACTGTTATCTACTTGATTTTAAATCAAAGACTGTTATACATTGGAATTCACTAATCTAAGTTTCTTTTATAGAAGAAGCAACAATTGGATGTTAATGTTCCATTTTTCTTTTACCAAGTTTATGGAGCATTATTAGTTTATAGCTACAGACCACTCCTGGATATTTTATTAAATTTTTATTTAATAATTCTTCCCTCATATTTGCACCATTAGAGACCTGTTAGTGGAGCCTCTATTCTTTCCAGTTGAGCTGTCTTTTTGTAGCTTTGCCATTATTTATTCCCTAAATAGAGGTTTCTTTTTTTAGAAATCTCAACCATTCCACTAATATCATGTAGGTTCACCACGTGCTGCGAAAACAGCTCTGATGCGTTGTGGCATGGACTCCACAATACCTCTGAACGTGTCCTGTGGTATCTGGCACCAAGACGTTAGCAGCAGATCCTTTAAGTCCTGCAAGTTGCGAGATGGGGCCTCATGGATTGGATTTGTTGTTCCAGCACATCCCACAAATTGCTCACTCAAATTATATATGATATAGGGAATTTGGAGGCCAAGGCAACACCTTAAACTTTTTGTCATGTTCCTCAAACCATTCCTGAACAATATATTTCAGTGTGGAATGGTGCATTATCCTGCTGAAAGAGGCCACTGGTATCAGAGAACATCATTGCCATGAAGGTGTATATGTGGTCTGTAACAATCTCTAGGTAGGCGCTACATGTCAAAGTAAAATCCACATAAATGCCAGGACCCAAGGTTTCCCAGCAGAACATTGGCCAGAGCATAACACCGCCTCTGCCAGCCTGCCTTCTTTCCTTAGTGCATCCTGCTGCAATCTCTTCACGTGTAAACAATCCACACGCATCTGGCCTTTTTCCTGATCTAAAAGAAAACGTTATTCATCAGGGCAGGCAACCGTCATCCATTGTTCCGTGTTCCAGTTCGTGACGCTCAGGTCTTCATTGAAGGGGCTTTCAAAGACGCGGTGAACTGTGTTCATCATGGGCACTCTTACCGGTCTGCGGATACGCATCCCAATACACCGCAAACTGTAATGCACTTTGTGTTCTGACACCTTTCTATCATGGAGAGCATAACATTTTTCAGATTTTTCAGCAATTTGAGCTACAGTAGCTCTTCTGACTTGCAAGACTTGCCATTTTCGGGGATTATTTGACTCTGTCATCTAGCCATCACTATTTGGCCTTTGTCAAAGTCATTCAGATTTTTCCTGCTTCCAACTCTCGATGACAAGTGCCATTGTAACATTATAATCAATGTTATTCACTTTACTTGTCTGTGGTTTAATGTTGTGGCTTATCTGTGTTTAGCGGGCCTGTTAGCAACCCAGCTGGTTGCCCCTGTTCAGCCACGTCCTTCCCTAGAAGGGAGTCAGTTCTCACCCAGTAACCGGA